AAAAACCCGGAAGCCCCCCCCCCCCCCTGGAATCACTGTAAGTCGAAGAGGTGCGAGGAAACGGCTGTGGCAAGAGGGGGAGGAGATGGAATGCAGGCTGGATCAAGCCGGGAAAAGCTTTATGGATGCTTCTGAGAAGCCCGGCAGGGCTCCTACATATGAGGGGGAAGGGAGAGCGAGTTCAGCCTGAGGAAGTCGGGCTGCCACCACCCCCCTGGCCCAGCCCACGCTAGTGCAACAACCAGCCGCCGCCCGGGGAGCCCCAGCAATGGGTGTAATGCCTAGAAGACGCCACCTACCCACCTTAGATGTGAAGTTTGGAGGAAATCCCAAGGATTTGGGGTTTTTCCTGGTACAGGTCGGAAGCTTTATGGCAGAATATGAAAGGGAGTTCACCTCTGAAGCAGCCAAAGTAAGATGTGTTACCAGGACAATGGAGGGGTTGGCAGCAGACTGGGTGGTGACTTTGTATAATGATTACTCCCCCTAACTGCGAAGCCTTGATGTTTTCATGACTGCTTTGAGGAGGAGGTTTGAAGACCATCTGGCGGAGAGAAGGGCCAGGATCAGAATGAAAACCATAACTCAAGTGGGGAGATCAGTTGCTGACTACACCCAAGAGTTCAGACAGCTGGCATACCGCATCCGAGGCTGGTCCCAGAAGGCTCTAATAGAAGCCTACAAAGATGGCCTAAATGAAGAGGTATACCACATGTGCATCTCCAGAAGGGATCCACATGACTTGCAGTTTTGGTACCTGCTAGTGGAAGAAGTGGAAATAGATCTAGCCCGAAGCAGACGCAGAGGAGGCCCCGCATGGAGCAACCTGCTCCTCCCCGGCTCTGAGAGACCCCTAAACCCCGAAAGGGAGGGGTGATGGCAAGGGCCAAATCTACTGCCTGTTTTCGTTGTGGGAAGGAGGGCCACCGGATTGCGGATTGTCGAGTCAAACCAGATCCAAAGAAAGGACGGGGCCTAGGAAGGAAGCCCGAAGCCTCCCCAACCAGGCCTCGCGAAACCAGGCTAAAGATAGGGGAGGTTGTAGAGGTCGCTCCCCCAGTGGAAAAAGAGCTGGGACCTCCGACTCCTCCCGACGAGAGTGAGACCGACTCGGAAGACGACATCCCGGTAAGTCCTAACCGGGGCCCCCTTACCATCCCAATTAAGTTAAGGGTGCCCACCTCGGGTACCGAGGGGGAAATGCTGGCCTTATTGGACTCGGGGTGCACGAGGTGCCTAATTAGCATGAAAGTAGTTAAGGGCATGGGCATCGGACTGAGAAATTTGAGAACGCCCATATCTTTTTGCCAATTGGATGGGTCTGAGGCGGGAGGTTGCCCTGCACGTTTTATAACAGAACCCCTAGAGATGATCATGGGAACCCACAGTGAGACCCTGTGTTTTATTGTGGCTCCTGGGATGGAACAGTCCCTAATCTTGGGATTGCTCTGGCTTCGGAAATGGAATCCCCAAGTGAACTGGAGAGAGGGGTGGATACGGATTCGTACCGACCGACTTCCGGAAGGGGAGGAGCAACCCCCCCCCCGGGAACTGGGGAGAATTCCCATCTGAAGCCCCAAACCCCTGCTGAGACAGCTTCCGCAGGGGCCGAGCGCATAGAAGGGGAGGAGAAAATCCCGAAAGAGTACTGGGACCTAAGAGAGGTGTTTAGCGAAGAGGCCTCCAATGAGCTCCCTCCCCATCGGTCAACCGATTGTAGCATTGAATTTCTACCGGGGGTGACGCTCCCGAAACCAAAGATGTATTCGATGACCCCAAGGGAGTTGGAGGAATTGAGATCGTTTATCGACAAGAACTTGAAACGAGGTTTCATCCAACCTGCCAGACCTTGAGTGGCGGCCCCTGTGATGTTCCGCGAGAAGAAGGATGGCTCCACGCGCTTGGTGGTGGACTATCAAAACTTGAATGTGGTGTCCATGGAGAACGTGTACCCCCTTCCTCTAATGAAGGATATGTTAGCCCACCTGGCCAAGGGGAAGATTTTCACAAAACTGGACTTGAGGGAGGCTTACTACCGAATCCGAATTAAAGAGGGAGATGAGTGGAAAACTGCACTCAACTGCCCGATGGGTTGCTTCCAATTCAATGTTCTTCCGTTTGGCCTACAGGGGGCACCAGCCATTTTCATGCAAATGATCAACCAGGTGCTCCACGAACATTTATACAAGGGGGTTTTGTCTACCTGGACGATATCATTATCTACACGGAGACTAGAGACCAACATGTGAAACTGGTATGGTCCGTGTTGCACAAATTGCGTGCTGCCAAATTGTACGCCAAATTGTCCAAATGTGAGTTCCATCAAGAAAAAATCGACTACCTGGGATATCGTATCTCACCCGAGGGTCTCGAGATGGACCCGGAGAAGGTACGAGCCATATTGGATTGGGCCCCACCGAGAACCCGAAAACAACTTCAAAGTTTCCTTGGATTTGCCAACTTTT